GGGGAGGAGTGAGCGAGTGGCTGCGTGGTGCTCAGTTGCCGACTGAGGTTAAACCACGACAACAGCTTGTCTCATTCTAGGCCTACCTGGGACTCCAGCAGCCCATCTACAAAGGGGCTAGATGATTCTTCACATACAGCCAAACTCCTGACCAGTTTAAGCTTTGAATTAGACTGGAGAAGGAAAAGAAAGAGTATAGTTAAGACACCTCAGCCAAAACACACACACTAATTCATGCTGCTGCATTACCAAGCCACTCATGCAGTCATTATTAATTAAACTGCTAAAAAGGAGGACTACCAAACCAGCTTCTTGCAGCAAACAGAAATATACAAAGGCTTGGAGTCCTAGAGCAAATCAATTATTTTCTTCCTTCAGACTTTGATTAGGATTTGAACCAACCGAATTTTCGGTGAGAAAGTTCACTGCCTTAATTCATGCACTCTTTGACCTCTTCAGCCAGAGCAATTCCAGCCTTTCCCCTCCTCACCTGGCAAGAATTAAAACCATTAACAAAGGATATAGCTGAAACCAACTATTTTATTGTTTGTTAAGATGTGAAGATTGTTACTGTTCTTAATTAAAAGGCTGTCATCCCATTTACTCCTCGCCTGTCTGACCTGATGACTTTGATTATTTTGGGTAATGTAGTAGTGCTTAGAGAAAAAGCTCAAAATAAAACCTGCACTTTCAGGACTCTTGGCAAGTTGACTCACTTGGGTGACAAATAGGAAAAAAAAATATCGACCAGTCACATGAGATCCCAGGCAGGATCAACAATATGGAGAAAGGCCTGAGGTTCACATACACATTCTGCCCTAGGCATGGACAGGGCAGGAACTGGAATCACAGCCTGTTCGGGTACTGCACAGAGTCCTGGCTTTTAAGACCAAACAGAACCATTAGAATATCTTTTCTGAACACTGTAGGTCATAAGCAGCACACCTCTTTCATACATTATGTTCATTAAAAACAAACGCAGGCAGAACCCCTGTTACAAATTTAACGGTCTCCCCTCTCTTGTATGCCTCAGGGCAGAACCTGTCTTCATTTGGGTTTGAACTTTTGTGAAAGATAAAAAAAAGAGTGGGGGGGAAGAGACCTTCGCCCTCCCAATCACAGTTTTAAAATCAAGCCCTGAGCAACCTAGTCAGATGTCATAGCTGACCCTGTTCTGAGTAGGAGGCTGGACTAAATGAATTCTAGCTGGATTAGATGGACTCCTGAATTATGCTGTGTTTCTGTAACTGCCAAGCCTGGAAAATTCATGACCATTTTTGTTAAACTGCTTCAGTAGTTATTATCAAATTTTTCAAAGAAAAACTGGGGTTAAGGCTAAGAAAGGTAAATAAATAAATAAATAAATAAATCACACAATGGCTGCATTTTTACCCCGAGATTTTGCCTACAAACAATGTTCTAGAATAGTGGTGTCCTGGTGCTTATTACTAGCAAAAGTTTTGGGTTCACTAACACGTATGTGCCATCATTATGGGAGCAAATGTGGTATTCCCTGAAGAAAAGGGGCCTCACGTGAAACCAGACAGTTATACTTAACTCTGTTTTTTAACTGGAGGGTGTAACAGGCCAGTGCACTGCCCTGTCCCTCCAGTGACACCTCTGAATTTCATTTCTGGCGTTTTGGGCTCTGGGGAGGGGACAGATGTGGCAGTTATAGCAGGAAACAGTTCCTTCATGGGTAAGTGTGTGTTAAAAAGGAGCACTCATGCTCCAGTGCATGGAAAGTTACTGTCCTGAACCATCATGAGCCGCATGTTCCTTCTGGAGACAGGAAAGACTTGAGAGTACCATCCTAAGGTTGGGAACACGACTCAGCTCAGAATGGCCAAAAGAAGAACGGGACGTCAGAAGAGGTCATACCTTGGCTCTTTTTCTGGCATGTCCATGACTTGAAGTTCGCCTCTGTGGAGAAAGGAAAGAAAAGGCAAGAAGCTTAATCTGAATGTGTACACTGTAAATGGTATTTGCTGTGCAAGGCAGCACAACACGGAGCGTGTAAAGTGACTCTGAAGAAAATCTCTACCTGACAGCAATGGAAGCATGTGCAAATAGGAAGACCTGGAGAACTGTCCTGTCAGGCCCCAGGTGGGCAAAAACTTCTTAAGAAACTTCATGTGGATTAGACTCAGTTCCTCTGTTTCTGACAGAACCAGCACAACTGTTGGATCACAGGGCATACAGGTGGAGGTGCATGACACACTTCTAAGTGGGAAAACTGTAAGTCTTCTACCATTCCTGGGACATGAAGGGGGTTCTAACACAGTGGATCACGAGACACACACTGCTGCTCTGATTTAAGAGACACTGAGTCATCTGTTATCCCTACCTTCTAAGAAACCTTTCCCCATTCCACATTACAAAATGACCAAAGTCAGGCTCTTTCTGAGCAACACTGGTGTCTGCCCACACAGTGGTTGAACAAATCTGGCACCAGCCACCAGCTTTAAATGCAGAAGCATTCAGCAGATTGTTGAGGGTGGCCATTTCTTCAAGCTCAACACTAAGACAAAAGCACATGTGACAGGAGAGCAGAGCAGCAGGAATGAGTTCCAGCACCCTCCAAATGATGCTTGCACAGATTTTTTTTCCTTGCTGAAATGAAATCCCAAAACATTCACTTCCTGTTTGGGCATTTTTAACAGCAGCAAAGCAATGGCCAAGCACCATTCCTGAAATCAAGCTTTCCTGGGATGCCTTCACTTCACATTAAGCCATTAACTGATCCTTAGGTCAAAGAAAGGAATAAGAGGGAGGTAACAGCCATGGAACTAGAACCTGCAGACTGAGCACAAGTGCACCCAGGAGCACGCCAGTCTTATTTTCTCCTGGGCTCAAAGAATATTTAAATTATTCCACGCTGAGCAGAACAGATTCAGCTAAAGAGAAAGAGAGCAGCCAGTGAACAACACAGTCTGTACAGCATGGTATCCCCTTGGGAGGTGGTAGCATAGGCTCAGGCCCCTTTCAGAAGGGATAGCAACTAGCTTGTGTTTGCCAAGTAGAGAGGGCCCTGCCCTGCAAGCTGGCGGAAGGGACTACCCACTTGTATGCACACTTACCTGAGATTCCTGTCGCACGCTGACCTCCTCCCCCCCATCCTTCTCCACCTCCTCCTTGCTTGGTGACCTGGATACATATTTGGTTTTGTTCACAGATTCCTCAACCACCTTTTTTTCAGACTCCTTCATTATTTCCAGAGACTCCTGTGTTGTGTTGCTGTTTGACATCTTCAGAGCCCTACAACGTAGCAATGGGCACCTGCCAGAAGAGGTCACAGAATGGGTGGAAGGGAGTCAGGGGGTGGAGAGTTTCTATATGGAACACAAACTCTTGCACATATAGGTTATAACTTCCTCGTAACTCATCTTGTGTACAAAGACCCAAAACCAAGCACTTCAAAGACAGCCCACGCACTCATCCCCTTGGATGCAGCCCCTTGCAGCACCTGCCTTGAGGGGGCCTTGCAGGAGGTCCATGATTCTCACCAGGACTCTGGGGACACTAGCACGCCTCTGAATTAGAGCAGAATCTAGACAGGGCAGCAACGTGTGCCTCAGTCTGCTGACAGTCTTAAACAGGAGCAATGAACAGGTCACATATCCATTCATCAAATTAAGTGTTAATTCCAAACTGATTGTCTAGAATTGAAACGTCAGCCCTCTCAGCTAACTCAAAGCAGGCCTCTTGGAGCTTGAGCGAAGGCTAAACCAGCTTATGTAGGACTGCAGAGAGATTCTGGTACTGAGAAACACATTTGTAGAGACACTGCCTGTGCAGAACCCAGCGTTCATCCTGATGACAGATGAGGAGGCTGGATGAAAAGCAGGCCCATTGAGACAAGTTTCCAAAAAGAAAAGGGGAACCCTAAATTTGGGAGAGGCTCAAACAAAAGGTCTGGGCACTGGAAAACACAGCTGATGTTTAACAACTTGTTTTATTAATTACTTTGGCAGAACATGGCTGAAAAAGAGTCAGATCTCACAGAGATTTATTGACTCTTGGCTCTGCATGGGAACTGCTAATATTCATTAACTAATTCAACCTCAGTCTCCTTTAATTTGTGTGGCTGCTGAACATAAAACATGTATTTGACTCTTATTGCGGCTACTGGAATCAGTTCCAGTTCCAGATAGCGAGAGAGTGCAATCAACTGCTTCTAGTTCATGGATTCTTACAGGGATTTGTAACAAACTTGTTAAGACATCCAGGGCAGATGTCCTGTTGTGAATGGAAAACACTGTGTTACAGGCAAACCCCTGTAGCAGGGCTGCAGCCAGAGAAACCACAGTACCATGCAGCAAGTGTGCCTGGGAGATGCCAGCACTGCACTGGATCCAAGCGAGAGGATGGGATAGGACGCTTACTGACAAAAGGAGGAAGCTATGGTCACCTTAGCTTTCCTTCACACCTATCATTGCCTGTTCTAGACTTATGATGAGCTTTCCCCCAGCAATAAGACTCACTGCTGTCAGTTCAGAGTCACAGATGGGAGAGCCAGGAAAGGAAAAAGTTACTTAACCCAAGGCCTTGATGAGTAAGCGGCACCTTGAGGTTGTGTGGGAAATACTCCTGTTGATCCCAGAAAATTCACGGAAAAAGGGTGCAGGGAAAGCAAAAAAAGCTGGCACGGATGAAGCTGACAGGGCTGCACTGTCCGGTTTATGCACAGGAACCAGTATGTTTCAAGGCAGACGCATGTATCCATAGGAGAGTGACTGTGGATGCTATGGGTTGATATAGGCAAGTGGATACATCCCAGCACTGTATGAAAACAAGGTATTTCTCACTAGAGAGAACTGCTGGAAGATCTCAGCCACTGTTCACGTGCATTCATTCTGCAGCAGGAAGGTTACAAGAAACCCACTGTTAATTCCATAAGCACCTTCCTGTATAGCATACCTGAAAGTCTTAAGATGAGGACACGAGGGGCCAGAAGGCTCTCTTCTCACCTGAGGGGCAATACTGAACAAACATAACTGGGCAAGATCCCTGTGCCTGCTGCAGCGCTGAGCCGGGCTCCTTCAGCCCAGCATCATCACACTGTACCAAGCAGGCTATCCCACAACCAAACTGGTGGCTGCTGGCAGAAAACAGCTGCCATCAATAGCTTGTTACAGAAAAGGAACCAGAGAACAGTCTGCTGTTGATGTTAGCCTTGCAAGATGATTCTGCAAACAACTCTCCCTTCCAGTTGCTAACTATTTCCAAGCATGTATGTGGCCTCAAATGCCAGGTGGAGGAGAGGGTGAGAGCACCTCAGTCTGCTATTCTGAATGCTAATCAGTGCAGATCCTTGCACTGCATGATCACCTGCTACTCCCTACCCCTTCCCAGCACAGTCCCACAGCGCACAGCACCATGGACAATCCCATTGGCGGGCACCTCGTGGAGCACCCCTGCAGGAAGCAGCTTCCCTCAGGAATCACTGAGGCATCCATCCTCCAGCTGCAAGGGTCTGTTTTTCATCCTGGCAGGCTAAGTATGCAACAATTGCCAATAGGAACCGCAATCGAGATCCCAGGTTTATAACAAGCATGCTGCACGAGGTGGTGAGCCCCCACATGAGGGAGTCATGCTCTGCTGCGATGCCTCCGACAGGAACTAGGTCAGAAAAGGAAAAGGAAGTACTTGCTTGATTTGCATGCCAGCCTCCTCAGCAGGAGTCTGGATTATGCAGGGGGTAAAGCTGGTAAACTCTGCCTCCCCCCTCCCCAAAATGTTCCACACTGTAGGAAACCGCTCAGCCTTGTGTTCAGGCCAGGGCCCTGGCTTGTAAACAAGCCAGGAGGATCTGTAGCAGATTTGGGGAAGGGAGGCAGGAGGCACCTGCACTGCACACATGACAGTTATCTAAATGGGGAATTTCTGCACTAAAATAAAGGAAAAGGTTTTGTATAGCTCATTCTCTTTGCAACAGCCACCCTACAACAAGTTTTTACCCCCAAGCCAAGCACCTCAGCCAAATTTGAGAAGGGTAACGGGATCTTTTCTCATCATACTGCAATGTAACTTCGGCATCACAACAAGGTGAATACAATCAGTTTTCCCTCTCCTCTTCCAGAAAAGATGACTCAGAGCCACTGCATTGACATTTGTAGGCTGACCCCTTGTCCTGGTTTCGGCTGGGATAGAGTCAATTTTCTTCCTAGTAGCTGGTATAGCGCTGTGTTTTGGATTTAGCATGAGAATAATGTGGTAACACACTGATGTTTTAGTTGTTGCTAAGCAGTGTTTATACTAAGTCAAGGACTTTTCAGCTTCCCATACTCTGCCAGTGAGGAGGTGCACAAGAAACTGGGAAGGAGTATAGCCAGGACAGCTAACCCAAACTGGCCAAAGGGATATTCCATACCATATGATGTCATGCTCAGTATATAAGTTGGGGGGCGTTGGCCAGGGGGGCAGCAATCACTGCTCGGGGACTGACTGGGCATCGGTCAGCAGGTGGTGACCAGTTGCATCACTTGTTCCCCCCACCCCCACCCCGGTTTTGTTCCTCTCTCTCTCTCATTGTTTTACTACAATTTATTATTGTTGTTGTTGTTATTATTGTTTTATTTCAAGTATTAAGTATTACTTATCTCAACC